AACGATTTGGCGATCATTGTAACCTAAAGCCATCAATTCTTCTTTGATTTCATTGGGTGGAGTTGAAGGGTGGAGGCCTCTCATCACTACTCTTAGTGCTCTCTCTTCTTATAGCTGGTAGTGTGAAATTTAGTATTTGAGTCTGATAAATATTTGACAATTTTTTTTTATATTACGCAAATGCGACAGAGAGCCAGAAACACCAGCACATGTGCTTGGAAAATGCCCCAACAACTCCCTCCTTATAACGCGCCGTCACCACAGAGTCAAACATGAACTGATGAGGCTCCTTATAGAGAGAGATTACGCCTGTTTCGAGGAAGTATATTGTATAGATACGGATGGATCCACCCAATATACCGACATTGTAGCATTCCCTAAGACGGGAAAGTCGGCGATGATTTTGGATCCGACCGTGAGATATGAGACCAACGACCTCGATCAGGCAGGAAAAGTGGAAAGGGAGAAAAAGCAGTCATACGAGAAATGCATCCCTTTCCTTAGTGAAAAGTTCCGCGAGAGTTTCGGGCCGAGAGAGTTCCTCGTGAGAGGCCTTTGGTTCGGAGCTCGAGGAACGATACCAGACTCAACAAGGAGCTTCATGGAGGGCCTTGGTGTCGACATAAAGGACGTGGCAAGGTTGGCAGAGAACATAATCCTTGACTCCCTGGGAATTATCCATCACCATGTGCATGGATAGAGAGTTTGTTCATGAGGGGAGGCATGCGTGTTTTACAGCATTTTTACATTATTTATTGACCACGTCCACTGCACTTTATGTTTTTGTATGCATGTTATGAATTAGGTTAAGATAAGATAGGAGAAAATCTAGAGAACGAGAAAAATGTATAGAGTGAGAGAAGGAACAGAAAGGGATGTATAGTGCTAATAAATGAATTAAAGAAATAGTAAAAATAAAATAAATAAATAAAAATAAATAAATAAAAATATAGGGAAAAAAATTATGATAAAAAAAAATATATATAGATAAAAAAAAAAAATTGTATATTATGCTCATACATGTTGTTAATACTATATAATTGTATATTAGTTTTGGAAAATTGTCTGTAGCGATTAATAAGTATGCTGTGTTTAAAGCAACCCAATGTAATTGGGCAGCACCCTTTTATGATAATAAAGTGATTCTCTCTCCCGAAGAATCCGGCATTAATTAGGTGTCATTGGTCCTACTGTGGCATACATATTTTACTTTTTCCATCATTTTATTAAGGTGCTAGCAGAATAATGGAAAATCTTTAATATTTCAGACAAATATTGGAGATGGTTTTGGCTCTCTGGGAGTTGGTGCTGCTTCCATTGTTTCTTCTGACGAAAGAAGCTGGTATGGGTTGGGAGTGAAAAATGCAGATTTATCTGTTGTTTGAGTTGAACAACCAGGTTGCGGATTATTATTGATTTCAGCTGGAGCTGGTCTATCAGGTGTTGATGGTGGTGTTATTCTATTGGAATGCCTTGGCCTTTGTTCTACAGGAGAGTTTTGAGAGCTATTATTACCTAAGCTTCTCGATCTTTTAACTTTGCTCGACATTATCATGTGATAATATCGCATTTATGAAGATCTGACTGAAAAGATATTTTAAATAGTCTGATGCGTATAAAAGAAAAATTACGCAGACCGGTGGAGCGCCAAGTGGCATGCACCCACTTCAGCAGTCAGCCAGGTACAGGCTGCAGGCTGAGTGGGGATAGATAACAATGTGGTAGATAAACTTTCCAGCTATATCTATTGTTTGAGAAGAACTTGTCATTTTAATTAGGTATTAAAAACTCGTACATATACATTTGCTTTCCACCTGAATCGTAAGATAATTTGAGCGTAAAATCGGAAAGAAAGTTGACCTTAAAAAATACTGAGCCGTTTGGTGTAAATACCTCCAAATTCCCAAAATAACGAGGCTATATAGCACAAATGGCCCAATATTTTTGTGATCAAATTATCTTACGACCCATGTGCCAAGCAAATAGGTATTTACGAGTTTTAATACCTAATTAAACAGATAAAGCTTGCCCCCCTCCAATTTAAAAAAACACCAATCCCAAGAATCTTTGTAAATATAACAGATGTAGGTTACGATGAGATGAAGCTATTTACGAAGTTTCAGGTGGATGTTAATAATTTGATAAAAAGGGGTTTGTACCACGGACTATTAAGCATGTTGAACGTAAATGGATGCCCGTCCAACGGAAAAACCACGCTACTAGGATATATGTGAGGCTCATAGGCTCAGACTTTCGATTTTGATTATGGTGGAGAAGAAAAAAAAATGGTGGGAGTTTTTATTATGTGTAAACATTCAACGTAAGGACTTTTTTTTTGTTTCATTTATTATTATATATACTTGAAAATATCTATAAAAAAATTCAATTTAATATATATCATATTTGTTTAGATTAAACAAATGGAGGAGGGAAGACAGCCTTCATAACATCGTTACATTTCTAGAACTTTTTCAGAGAAAAATGAATAATGTAAAAAAGTGAAAATATCTTTGATATCTTAGCTTATACAACCTCAAATGAAAATAGGTGGTTCATAATCCAACTAGTTTGCCGCGAAAATGTGATTAGAATATTACGTGAAAATTGAAAGACGATTTAATCATAACATCCAAGGATTTGTTGATATATATGTATATATCCTAGTTATTTATTACATTTCCTTACACAAATTATCTCTTATTATTATCTTATGAAATTTTCATTTTGGTAAAAAGTAAGTTGATAAGTAAAATGTTGATGTTTCAGAATTACTTCAATTTAATTTCAATGGGTAACAAATCATCAATAACATATTAGTAAATATTTACTATATTTGAAATAAACAGTCTGTTACCTAATTTTTTAAACAATTATTGTATTTTACTGATATCTTCGGCTCTAAAGAGGCTAGTCCTGAAACTATTATCATGTAATCTGTTATTTCATAATTCCAATAAAACATAGGCTGAAAGACCAAAACGTGCCTGGGAAAATTCCCCAATAACTCTTGGTCACATAAAAATTCACATACCACAAACTAAGTGAACATCAATATCAACTTAAAATAAGAGCTTAATTAATATTAATTAATTAATAAGTAATATTAATAAGTAATATAATATTAATATTACTTAATATTTCCCAGGAAACGAAATCCGACGTTTACTTGGATTATTTTTGTAAAAACGTAAATATTGGAATAAAGATATGAACTTATATTAGTTGTTCATCTAATTATATAATTATATAATTAGGTCTTGTGTAAAAATCAATGGTGTTAAATAGGCCAATTATTATTGATTAAAAAGACAGGGATTGGACGTGGATACACCAACACATAGCCGTGCATTTAAACAATTAAAAATAATAAATGCACAATTTTATATCCGACTAGAGAGTCATTAACGGAAAGGTTGATAGGGTCAGAATATTATCAAGATATTATCAATGAGGTCGTTGCACAAACAATCCAGAAATGCAGTTAGACCCAATCGAACTGCAGCCTCGTAACCAATAACGTAAGTAATGGAGGAACTTTCAAAAATTTAATATTCAGTATAGTACATTTTTCTTTTTCATTTAATTTTTAAATTCAAATCAATAGTTTTTGAAATGTCGCAAATAACAATATGAAGTGGTTAGTTATTTTTACCCAATTTGAATTTTTTGGAGTAAAACCTATTTAGTAAAAACCTAATTTACTCTGCCTAGTTTACTGGAAGCGTCTTTTGGTTTTTGTAATTTATGATAAATTATAACTCATTTGATACTTTGCACAACAAAAAAAAATTTGATATAGTAACCTAAAAATCCGGGCAAAGCAAAGGCAAAAATAAATAATATAAATTTTATATGAAATTATATAAAATATTTTTTCTCGGTCCGATTGGAAAGATCGCCAGGATACATCTCTGATATATTTTGTTTTGTAGAATCACCAAAAAAAAAAGTCTTCCAAGTAAGGCCAGTATAGCTTCCTCACCGTTTTCATTAGCTACCAAATATTTGTATTACAATATCTAAAGTTTTTCATATGAGAATAAAATCTCTGGGAGAAGCCGTTTTCGGAAATTCAGTAATTCCTCAACATATACGTGTTTGATATTGAAGAGTTTTGTTCATCAGCTGATACTAAAGTGCGAAAGAGTTCCGGATTTGCAGATTGTATATTTGATAATTCTTGATTAAAAAAAAAAAATCCAGGGCATTCTGAACATGCATATGCTACTGTTCGTACAAAAGGTCGTATGTAAAAATTAAGTGTTTTACAGTAGAGCATAAAAACTAATAATTTCTTCATAATTTACTACTATAATTTCATATTTTATTGCACTCTAATATTTTTCATAGTAGCAGACTACTCATATCAGTTACAGACTACAAAATGTCAAATATAGGATAAAATTGAAAATTTGTACATACCACCTTTTGCAATAACAGTAGTTATATATACTTCATCGGTTTTCACATCTAAAATGGACGGACCAAAAATCCATTGGAAAAATTCAACTTTTTTGTTCGGATTTGACGAGACCCATACTTTTCTCCAGCCAAAACAAAACTAATTTAAGCAGGGAGATAAAAATATAAATGAAGTTATCACAACTTCGATGTTTAAGGATGAAATCGCGACCACGACGAGCTAGTTGAACTTCAATAGAAATAAACACAATCGTAAATACGACTTCTTTTTTTGTTACAAACTAAGAGTAAACATTAATTTAAATTTATTGAAAATTATACAAAATAATGGCAGAAAGCATCATGCCAGTAACATTTGGAAGATCAAAACAATACAGTATAAATTAGGTTTTCGAATAAAACCTTATTAAACTTCATAATAATATTGTATTAATCTAACCCCCATTATACATTATCAATACCTTCCACATTTCACAGCCATTATATTTGATCTTGGCCATTTGCTCAGATTAACAGCTGAGGGGTAATAGGAGATGTAGACATTTTGAAAATCGTATTTAAAATCCGTCAAATTATAAAAAAATTTTCATGAAAATTTTCCGTAATTTGAGAAAGACCCATATATCCACATCCATCTATATTTCTTTTTATTTTCTGAGGGAAATCGTAACGCTGGAACACCCTTTATGTTATATTATGTAAACAACACCTATATTAATTTTACTAGTGCAATTAATGCATTATATTGTCTTATTCATTTTGATACAGAGTATTGATAATTATTAATTTACAATAATTATAATTTACAGGTCGAAAATGTTGATTGTTATTTCAGCTGTGGGTGCAGTATGTTTGATCTTTGTCCTTGTATTAATTTATTTGATAAAGCAACACCGATACTGGAGAAACCATGGAATACCCGGTCCTAAGCCAACCCTGGTCCTGGGCAACATGGGCGACCTGTATTACCACAAGACCTCAGAGCTTCACTTAATCGACAATTGGTACCAAGAGTTCAAAAATGAACCTTACATCGGCTACTACAATTTGTGGAAGCCTACGCTTCTCGTAATGGATCCTCAACTTATCAAGGCGTTGATCGAAGCCGATTTCGACCACTTTACGGACCGTCCTATGAATTGTGGAAATTCAAAGAATGACGCCATCATGCATTCTATATTTAACATGAGAGGGACCTTATGGAAGTTGAAACGACACATCTTTTCGACACTTTTTTCACCAAAGAAGTTGAAAGAATACTCCGAAGTCCTGAATCATTACGGATCTTCTTTGTTAGGAGAGATAGATTCCTATTCGGAACGTTGTGAAGAGATCCCATTTGAACAGATTGCGAAAAGGCATGTGGTCAGAACTCAGAGCTATATCATGTACAGCCTCGATCCGTCTCAGGACTTATTCAGGAAATATTCTCGAAACTGTCCCATCTCTCTGAGTTATTTGAACGCCCTCCGACCAACACGACACTCAAGTTCACATTTTTTACGGCAGCTCCTCGTCTGTTCAAGTTTCTGGGAATAAGCACGTACCCTCGGGAGCTCTGGGACTTCTTTTCCAAATTCACCAAACAATTGATAGAGTCAAGAAACGGAGCGAATGTTGGCCGTGACGATTTGGTGTCTCTTGTGGCACAATTGCAGAAGGAAGAAGTTCTTGGGACTGACAGTAAGTAGAAACTATTTATTTTATTCCACAAATCTTATGTCAGACAATAGAAACACTCATTCTCATTTTTGATTTCATTATATCAAATATTTCAGCCGTACATTTCTTGTTAATGGAATATTATAACTTTTTTTTTTAATTATCCTGAGACCTAGGACACTATTTCCAAAACAACAGATTGTGGAATATGTTCTGCTTTAAAAAAACATGATAGATTTTGAAAGAGAGGTCTTAAAAACATTTGTCTACGAAGGCTTCATTTGAACTGTATATTAATATAATTATTTTATGATTGGGCATTGGGCATGATATCAAGCTATCTAGAGTAACTTTATATCTGTTCTGGTACGCGGTATGGAGGCAGTCGGCGTGTCACTGGCTAGAAGTATCCAGACTTTTATTTTAAAATACTGAAAAGAATACCATATTGCTAGTATAACATCAAAAAAAGGGATCGTATTATTAGGGATAAATTATAACTAATGTACTGACCTAATGCCAAATTAAAATAATTATATTAAAATAGAATCCTAAAAGGTCGATCAGAGGAATTTTGTAATATTATATATATAATATTATAGTCGGATAATAGCTCATGAAATACACTTAAATAAGTTAAAACAACTTCTGTTTATACCTTTTATTCAGACATTTCGATCCCTGTTTTTTTAACATAAATAATGGGATCCTCTTCAGTTCTGGAAAAACAAAACCAGGAAAAATTGGTATAACAATCAAAAGTTTTCATACATTTCTACAATAATTCACAATTTATCTTACTTTTATATGAGGATCGATATCCCAAGCCGGGCAGCACGCTGATAGACACAACAGTACATCGAGTACATCAAGTACATCGAGCTACTGAGGGACTACGAAATCGGAGTCCGAGAATAATACTAATACCAACAATAACAGTGTACACTTATAAACTTTTAATTTTAGTACCAATGATGGGTTTTGTTTTTCCAGAACTGAAGAGGATCCCATTATTTTTGTTAAAAAAACAGGGATCGAAACGTCTGAATAAAAGGAATAAACCGAAGTTGTTTTAACTTATTTAAGTGTATTTCATGAGCTATTATCCTACTATAATTGATACTTTAAGTTATAATATATAAAGGTCGAATTATATAAAATATTGTAATATATGTATATATAGACATTTAACCAGATATATATTGTATATATATAAATTAAACATAACTGGACAATTTTTTCAGGAATAGGACTTCGTGAATCTGTGGGACATATTTTCACCTTCTTCGCTACAGGTATTAATTCAAATTTAACAGCTTTGACTTACACCGTATTTCAGTTGAGTCGACATCCTGAAGTTCAAGAAAAACTTCGTAATGAAGTAGACAATGTTTTATCCGGAAATGATTATGTCTCATATGATAGTGTAATGAAGATGAAATATTTAGAAGATGTTATCAAAGGTAATATTAACTAAATTGCCCGTTTTAGTTCCTTTTGCATGAATTAAAAATAAATAAGAAAAATAATTTATTTTCTAATTTATTTTTTTCAATTGTTTGAATAATTTTGCAGAAACTTTAAGGATGTTTCCCCTAGGAGGAATTATTTTAGGAGCAGGAATATTGAAAAGAACTTGCACTATCCCATACAAAATTAATGAAAAATTTACTATTCCTAAGGGTATGGATGTTGTGTTCCCTAGTTATTCTGTTCACATGGACCCCAATTATTTTCCAGCCCCTGAGGAATTCATACCAGAAAGATTTTCAGATTCAGCAAAATCATCACCAATTTTTATGCCTTTTGGCAAAGGACCAAGAACATGTATAGGTAAGGAATGATAACTATCAGATTTATAATTCATGAAAATCAATCATATTATTATAAGGAATAGAGAAGGCAAAATTAAACTTATCTTGTATGAAGATAAACGTTGCATCAATTATACTGACGTCAATAAAATTACATAATTGACATAAATTTTTTTTTTTTTATGAATGCTTTTTCAATATTATGAAGGAGTTTCAATATTATTGCACTTTTAAGGGTATATGCAGCAATATGAATCATATATAACAAGATCTTGATTGGCCCTGGGCAATACGATATTTGTGTCCCCATGCCTCCTCCAACCAATATTCAATTTTGGTTTATTTTCAATAATGAACCATTGTGATCGACCAAAAAATTTAACCCACTCTCAAAATTTGAGGTTTTTCGTTTCAGCATAAGCAGATTTCGAAAAACGAATAAAAATTGTTTTTGTCCGTCCTCCGTCCGGACTTTCTCCGGAACCACTGGCCGATTTTTTTCAAATTTGGATTTAAAATCAGAGGTCACCCGAGGATGATCCTCCTTCATCGACATTACTATCCGCCTTTTAAAATGGCGGTCGAAAAACCTACGGTGCTATAGACTGTAGCGTCCAAACAAATGTACCGATTTCAATGAAACTTGGCCAAAGTCTTTTTCTCGACGCCCTTTACATTTATCTATATCCAACATACTTCAACGAAAAGAAGTTGGAAAAAAAAGTTACGAGGGATGCTAACATTAAATTCCAAATGACTCAAAAAGTACACACCACCTTTTTGTCGATATGGTTTTTTAAAAGTTTACGGAATTTTCTAAAAAAAATAGTTAAAATCGGACAATTAGGAGCAAAGATATGGTCTCTAGTTTTTTTCTTTTATATGTTCTACTGCAAAGGTTATATCCTTTGTTTTGTTTTTTGAAGTTTGAATGTGTTGCTGAAGTAATGGTAATTTTTTAGCATATGCAAATGATTAAAAAAAAGTTTAGTCGAATAATTGGAATAACCTTTTATTTCTCTTTCTTAGTAACTAGGAATGTTACTTTAGAGGTATAATTATTTGGAAATAATAAACCATTGTGAAATAATTTGTAGCGTTTTTTGTTGTTTTTTTACCGAATGGTTATATTTTATTTTATTTAACTTTATTATAATTACTTTATTTTTTTATTTTTTCAAAAGCTAATTTTTATACAATATCAAATAATAGCAATTTTATTTAAGAAATAAAATAACCTATCTTCTAAGGCAAAAATAAAACACTACAACACGGTGACAAAACCTGCAATTCTGTCCGGAATGGAGACAAAATGTTGGCTAGAAAAATAAAATTATAGAAATATAAACAACTAGGCTTGAAAAATTACTCAAAACAGAGAGAAAGATTCTGAGGAGAATTTATGGGTCCAAGAAGACTCAGGACCACTATAGGTTAAGACCCAACCAGGAAATCTACAGGTAGATTAAAGACCTAGAAACCGAAATAAGAATCAGAACACTAAGATTCTTCGGGCACAAAATAAGAAAGGAAACAAAACAAGAAACTCTTTGATAGAATCCGTGAATACAAGAGCGTAAGAAGATATGTAAAACAAATGGAAGAAGAAACAGAAAAAATGGAAATAACAGACAAAGACTGCCTGTATAGGGAATAATACGGAAGAAAATTAAAAGAAATCAAGGTTCTTGTGGAAAATAATGAAAAACGGATGGAACGCGTGGTCGAAAGAGAGGAGGCAAAGGAATGCTGAAATGATTAGAAGATCCTGGGAAAACAGGAAAGGGAAAATGAGAAAGGGGAAGTAATGATATTCGCGTGGTCTTAAAAGGCCGTGTCGTGAAATAAATAAATTATTTTTATCACAAAAATATTTCTTAAATATTCAGCAATTAGGAAACAAGAAAATAACCTATTTGAAACAAGAAATTTGTATTATATAGGAATAAAATAAAATTTACTACAAGATCCTTAGCTGCCGCAAATCTGACCTGTCTCACTCACTGTTTTCCAATGGTGGGATAGAAAACTGATTCCCTACCTATTTTTGCATTCAGATCTCCAATTATAATTTTCACGTTATGCTTGGAGATCTCATCTGTAGCTTGCTCAACGATATCGTAGAAGTGTTTCTTATCTTCATCATCCGATATCTCTGTGGGTGCATGCACGCTTATCAGTGAAATATGGCTATATTTGCCTTTTAAGCGAAGGAGGAATATCTTGGTTTCGAAATCGATTACCAACTGAGCCATCCTAAGTAATAACAAATCCAATCCCATATACGTGATGTTGATCCTCCCGATTGAATGAATGAATGAAAATAAGTTTATTATTCTGGGACTATTGTCCCTTTAGAACAAGTTACAAATACAGAATATACATTAATATTTTGGTGTGTCCATAAAATACAATTTAATATTTACAAGTTGAGATTAGGAATACAATAAAGTTTATAAATAATAAAATATATAAAAACGTGTAAATATAAAATATCAGACGAAAGTAATGAAAGTAAACGAAATATCGATTGAATCACAAAATAATCAGAGTATCTGGGTGTACTTTGAGGTTTTTAAGTGCATTTCGTGAACAATCTGATTGGGAATGGAGTAGGTGTTTGAAGAGGAGAGATTTGAAAGAGGATATCGATTTTGCTTGTCGAATATCTGAAGGTATAGAGTTCCAGAGAGAGACAACTTGTATTAAAAAGGATTTATCAAACGCAGCAGTTCGGTAAGGAGGAGGGTAGTGGTCGGACGCACGGGATCTGGTGGGACGAAATTGCAGTATATCAAATGGCTCTTCTTGCTTATAATTCCCTGTCGGATCCATCTCATCGCTTAGATAGATTCATACTTTGAAAGAAGAAGAAATAAACTAAATACCTATATGAAATGGTGATTCATTGATTGTTGTAATCCTATTAAATGTAATTACACAAAAAATAATGCTTTTAGAGATCATTTTTTAATTTTTATTTTCTATGACTTAGTTACATTTTACCATTTAAAGAGGTGCTTTTGCCCCAAAGCCTCAGCTTAACAGGGAAAATAGGTAAAGTTTTAAACAAACAGGATAATTTTCATTAATAGGTTACACAATGTACCAAACAAATACTTAATCAACAAAAGAATAATTGAGAATTTTCTCTTGATATGATTTTTTATACCTTGTTTATACTTTACATGTTTTTATTTTTATCTCTGTTATTGTTAAAAATAATTACTTTATTTCCCTCCTCCCCATGACAAACATCTCACAGAAAGAAACCCTGATATCCTCAAACGTTAAAAGAAGAAGCTCTAAATCAAAATTTAAATAGTTTTGTAAATTTAAAAGAATCATCAGGAAATTACCATTTCCTGATAGTTTGCCAAATAAGTCTTCTTCATTATTTTTATTTACTATTTAATAACATTGATGTTGCAGGTAAAAGACTGGCTTATGTATCATTAAAGATAGCTTTAGCTCAAATAATTTCCAATTACACAATTCTGCCAACTCCTAATACTGATTTTCCTGTGAAATTTAACCCAAGAAGTGTCATCATAGCATCCAGACCTCTGCAGAGACTCAAAGTAAAGATGCAAAAGAGACAAAAGCCATCTTTTTCAAACCAATAAATATTGATTGTATCTAAAAATACTTAGAAGGGAATTGGATAATGTATCATCTGGAACATACTTGTATATTATTTTTTAAACAAAACTAGGGGTCTGATAAAATCAATGTTAAGACAAAAAATAAAGGGTAAATTTTTCATTTTTTTTTTTTTTTTTTTTTAGCAAAGCAAAAAGTAATTATTAAAAGAAAAAAGAAATAATAGCAAATACTGAGTTAGTAAATGAACTGTATTGTTCTTCAGAAATTTATATGCTATTTCATATATACCATCTAATTTTTTAACTCTTAACATTTTTATATGTTATTCCTTGACTACTTTTTTAATTCTAGGAATAATCTACTTATTTCTTATTCTTTTTATATTATATATATATATATATATTAGGGGAAAATTAACAGAAATTTTCAACAAAAAAATAATAATAATAATTAAAAAAAATATGGAGTCCTATTGAAACTATCATTGTGATCAACTAATAACTACAAATTTAATATTTGTGTGTGTGTTTTTTTTGTTTTGTTTTTTTAGAAATTTTGAATTTTCTGTTGTTATTTTTAAGATAGGCTGAAGGATTCTCATCTAATTTAGTAACAAGTTTTGTTAGGAATCTTAAACAATCTATAACACATAATGCTCCTTGGCCCAAATTAACATTTTTTTATTATTAATTACTTATATGCTTGTATATATATATTTATATGTTTGGTGTATGTTATACTAAAAAGATTATATTGATATACAACTTAACTTAAGTTTACTTTATTTTATATTTCTAATAAATAAATGTATTTTTTATTCATCCTATTTCCTTACAAAAATTATTTGTATTGAAGCACAGGTGGATCTATGGGGGAGGGGGCTTTGAAGGCTGAGGGGCTTGAGGGGCTTTCCCCCCTCCCTCCCCTCAAAATGGTAAAATAAAACCATGTTTTACAAAAAAAAATATTAAAAACTATCTCATAAAGTATTCTTTTCGTGTAATTATATTTAATAGGACTTCAAGAACCACTAACACAATTTCATATAGGCAGTTAATTGCTTTCTTTTTTTTCTAATTAATTAAAGTTATATGTATATGAAAAAAAAATCCTGGATCTGCTAGTGTATTGGAGTAACAACCATCAAATGAGATTGGCATTTTGGATAATGCAGCTGTTTCAGGGTTGCTTTCATTTGATTTTAATTATCTTTAAATCACTGCAGAAAGAAGGGTCACTCTCAAAATAGAGCTGCTATCTAATGGTAGTCATTTTTTAGCATTTATTATATTTAGGAGCTGATCTCTGCTTTAAAGTGATAGTCTTCGAACTATTACAGTAGAATTTGTTTTTTCAGAATTCCATGATGAATGAGAATTTCATAGATATTTTACATCAACTACAAATTAATTCTTATTTGATATCCCATTTCCTACCCAAAATAAATGGCGATGTATAAATTTATAATGAGTAAAGTAGCAACTTATCATCAAATGACACGACTTATTTTTAACAATTGTTTAAAATTAAAGGGAAAAAAATTGCAGTTTAAATACAAGTAAAAATTGAAAGAAATTTAAATCCTATATGTTTTACTATACAGGGTGTCTGAGTAGTTAATGGTCAGAGGATGATTCTAAACAAAATTTTTAACAAAAAAGTTCATTCGATGAATGAATCCGATGAATCCGAATCCGAACGGAAAAGGAGTTATGAACAATTTTGTGTGGTTTTTTTCAAGAATGTCACAGTTTTTATTTAATAAGAAGGAATTGCACCAAATCAGTTCAAGATAATTACACCATAGTAAAGCAGACAAATTATTTTTGAGAAAACAATGAATAAATTTGCTAAGGTCAATGATACAAGGGACTTTAAGGAGGTCTAATACAACCTCTGTACTGCTTCAGTTACAGTACCCATATAGGAGCAGCATATCTCTGCAATCCCGATTTGTGAAATAATTTGGCAAAGAATAGAATAGAATAGAAAATAGAACTTTATTCTGGGACTAAGTCCCCTTAGAATAACAAAGATGAATTAATACTAAATAAAATACAAATCTGGCCAAAAACTAACTTATAAAAATTCTAACATTTTTATAATAATGGTAGGCTTTGAGTTATTAGACCTTCTGAAATTCCCTTTTATCATGAACCTTGGTAAATTTAATCACTGTTTTTTCATTGACCGTTTCTGAGTTTTCTTTCTGTATGGAGGAGTAAAGTTTATAGACTACCGGGGATAGACCACATTTCCAGGATTGTTGAAAAGAAGGGGAAGCCAATCAATTCAATGAAAGCACTAGCTCCGGATTGGGAGACTTGGTAGTCCTGGATCAGGGCACCTCTACACTGAGAGGCACTAAGGAGGATTATAAAGAAGAAGAAGAAGTTTTCTCATAGAAAATATTGTTTACATTACGATAGCGTACTTAGGATTGGATTATCTTGAACAGTTTTTGAGAAACTCATTACTATTCAATAAAAACCATGACCACCTTAAGAAAAACACAAATTGGTTTCAACTCCTTTTAAGTTTAGAAGCAAGCGGGCCATACTATGAAAGGAACATTTTTGTTGGAAATTTTGTCTAAAATCCCCTCTCCCCCAGAATTTGGCTATTGCAAAATGTGACACCCTATATAATACAATCCTAACTTAATCGTAGATTAAATATATGAATCTTGGAATTTCTCTTTGTACATAGAGCTCAGAAAATGGAATATAGAATATATGGTTCAAATAGACTGATGGAGTCATGAGGTTTTTATTGCCTCCCATCAATATAATTAATAAGGTTTGAGTTATTTTGATAGGCTTAATAAGTTTTAGCACTGATAAATATGACCAAAATTCACAATTGTATCATTGAAGGCTTAGGACCATTAAAAATGCACTTAAAATCTTTTTGATGTAGAGATGGTTGACCGTAATATAATATAATTAAATACTTAATTATATAATTATGTAAATAATTAATTATTTTATTTAATTAAATAATTAAAAATACTATTTTTAAAATTTAGTATTTATTTGATCGCACCCCCCGATCAACTCCTTCATAAAATCTTTTTATAATAACTCAAATTTGCCATATAATAATTTCAATTGAAAGTAGAGCAGTAAATGAAAAATATGTGATGCATATACCAAATTTTTTAATATTACAAACCAAAGTAAATTTAAAGGAAGGAGATGGTCTGAGGTGGTGGTCATAAATAGGCTAAATATTGGTAAAACTATTTAGCCTATTTATGACTGCCACCCCTTTGACCATCTCCTTCCTTTAAATCTCCTTCCTTTATAATGAAATGGTCAACTATTAAATATTCAACAAACTAAATTTAGTGTGGGAATTATAAGATTTTAATTCCTACTTGTACATAAGCACTCTACATGAAGAAGAATAATTGTTCCAAATATTTACCACATATTTTATTGCAGACTTAATTTATACTAAAAAAATATTTGGTAAATACAAAATAACTGGTTTTACAATTATATTATTTATTCCTTTAGTATGTTTTTAATTGCATCGTAACACCATGTGACAATTATTTGCAATAACCATCCTGATAAAAATTATAAAACATAAATAAAATATATATAACAGCTTATTTAATTTTTTCCATTGGTTGATATTATATGTGCATATAAAGTAGCTTAATATTAAAATCAGCATTTACAGTGATATTAACAATTAAGCATTAAACTGTAACAATAATCTGGATATTTAAAAAAAAAAAAAAAATCGGTTTTAATAAAAATGACTACAAAATGATAAAACAAAAAGTGAAGATTGATTATATTATATTAACTGAATATATATTTATACATAATAATAACTGAAATCTGTTTATGAAATAGATAAAATAATAAATAATAACATTGAGATCAAGATAACTATAGTAATCAGAAATGTTTAATTCAATGGTTTTAAAAGTGAAATTTTAATACTTTTTATTGTTAACTGGCTCTTTGGATGTGACCTTTGATTGATGGTATATTCGCTGATGTCATTGAGATACTAATATCTTGGTGTATCAAAGAAATTAAAAACAAATTACACAATGTAATGAATTACCATATAGTTTTGCAAAGAGTGGCATTGCTAGATCAATTGGCACCCTCACAAAACCTCAAGATTTCCATCTCCTCTCCCTGTGACCACCATATGTAGCACTTGAAAAATCCTTTGAACTATTTGTGTTTTGTTAAATAAAAAATCTGGTGTGGTGCACATATCACACAACTTTCACTTACCACACTTTTCTTAGCAGAAATATGTATATTCAGGAAAAGAGAAGTGAAAGTAAAAATTATAGATGGTATGAAACATTATTTAAAACACTTAATTACCATATGTTTTTCACAGCAGTCAAATTTTCACTAGCAATTTCGTTTTAGAACTGTATATTTAACTTAATCCACTATTAGTTAGTGTATAGGAAGCCCACTATTAGTATCCTTAACCCACTTTTAGTGGAAACTCCTACTAAATAAATAAATATTTAAATCATTTATTTGATTATAATCTAACGAAAATTTTTACGAGATTGCCAGTAATAAACAAGGTCGCTATATTTATTTATAGTTCATTGTGAATATTTTTATTTGATAAGTACTGGTATATAAACAAAATTTAATTGTTATTTCACGGTAATCTATACAATTAAATATTAAATAATACTAATACTAGCATTTATGAAAACTTTATTTTTTTAACTTGTATATATGGGTTTAGACATGTCAAAAACAAAATTGCTAACGTGGACCATCAAGAGTTTTTCAGCCAAAAAAGTCAGATTTTGTCGATATGTCCTTTGTCAATATCAGATCCTTCTTATGGCTGGCAGAAAGTATGTAGTGTAATCGTCATTTCTTCCTTTGGTATAATTACAGCCCATCGAGGAATTTCTATGTTTTTCATACAATGAGCTTCATTCAACCATTTTAAAAATTCTTCCTGTATTTCGTCATCCACTTGATGATCCCAGTCTTCTCCAGTTAACGAAGTC